AATGTCAATTAAAGTATCATTGAACTTTCTTAATAATAAATAAATAAAAAAAAAATGTAATATAAGATATGTAAAATTGTAAATAAAATAAGATAAAATAGAATGAAAAATTTTAGACAATTGTCCTGTCTATAAATAAATGAATAAATAAATGTAACGTGAAAATTAAATTATTAAAGATAATAGAAAGAAATGCTATTTAATAATAAATTAATACTTATTTAGTTATTAAATTAAGAAAACAATGTAAGAAATATTAAAGTTATAATTAAAAATCATTTTTTTCTATTTTATAAAAATTTAAATTTCAAATTTTCCCGCCTTTCGCAAACTTCATGTCATGGCTAATAGATAGCGCATACTCTCTCACAAGCGCATTAACTCCCGTCACTTATTAATTGAATATTATTATATATTTTTATTTAAAAATCGAATATAATTATTATAATATTATTAACATATTAGTATTAAAAATAAATGAATAAATAATAATGTAATATAATTATACAAAAAAATATAATAATTACTAATTAATATTTTTTTATGTTAATGTGCTAATAATTTTGTAATTTATTAGAATGAAAATTTAAATAATAATAAATATTATCTTTCTTTGTTATATTTATCTCAAAAATTAACTAAATTATTTGCCTCTCACTATATTAGCGTCCAAAAAAAATAAATGTTAATATCACTTTTTTTAATTCCACGAAAACTGAAAATTACCTTTTTAATGAAAATGCAAATTTTGGAGAAAATATTTTTAACACACATTTTCGTTGAAACACAAATTTATTGTAATTTTTTTCAAAATACTTCTTTTCCCTTGGAAATTATCACAATTTTTTCTTCTCAGCCAACAGAACATAAAGGAGAAAAAAATTTTAATGGTTCAGAAATCAATTTACTCAATCAATTGGCAAAGCAAAGTAAAATCAATTGGCATTGACCGGAGGGATGATGCTAATCGCACCTAATACACGTCAGACGGTTGCTTTAAATAGAATTATTCCGGATGGAAAAGAAACACAAATCTTTCGTCACATTTCTTATTATAAAAAAAAATTCGACACTCTTAGTTAATTATTGAATAATAAAAAATAATAATAATAATAAGAAATAATAATAAAAATTATTATAATTCTAATAATAATTATAATTGTAATAATAATTTCAATAATAATTAAAAATTTCCTAATTTTTTACTAATAATCTCAATTAGTGAATTAATTAATACTTATTAATTAATTAACTAATTTCAATTAGTTCTTAACTAATTAACATCAACCATAATAATAAATTAATTAACAAATTTAATAAATAAAATAGTTTTTAATTGATTAATATTATTAATTAATTAATTAACTGATTTCAATTAATTAATTGAATAAATTGAAATGAAAAAAAAAATTTCCAATCAAATTTTTTATCGTAAAATAATTTTAAAAATTCGACAAATTTTTTTTTCAAATCGGTTGTTGGGGGAAGAAATTAATTTGCTAAAAAATGCTTCTTTGTATAAGTGGACAATTAATATTCGGTCACGAAAGGGTCATTGCACGGTGAGAAAAAATGCACGTGATCAAAGGTTATTAAACCCACACAACTTGGAGAAATACTTTATATTTTATTTAAATTTAATAAAAAAAAAAAAAAAAAAAGAATTACAACTTCCCTGCAAATTTTATTTCAATTTTGTCGTAAAAAACAAAATTCCTTGAAAATTCATAAAATGTACAATCACTAAATAGAAAAATTGATATGAAATCAAAATGTAACAAAGAAAATTCATTTTACACTTTAATTTGAAAAAAAATTTAAACAATTTTTTTTTGTAAACTTCAACTTAAAACGAATTGTTTTCCAACTCTTCCAAAACTGTAATTTGCAAAAACAAAATTAAAACACTTTTTTCCTCAACTTCAATTTAGAAAAAAAAACTGAAGAAAAATACTTTCTTTTTTTTTAAAAGGGACATATAATTCTAAAAATAAAAAAACGGGTTAAAAACCGGGAATATAAAAGAAAATGAATTTTTTATATAGATTATATATAAAAGAGAAAGAAAAAGCGGACATATTTATAATCTTGACAATAATCATATTGATTACAAAATTATAAATTTACAATAACAATAAAAAAAATGACCTTAATATCCCTAACGGTTAGCACCGTTACAGTTATTAGTGTATTACTTTTGAGAGGATAATAAAAGAAGGACTCGGGGATATATATACGAAAAAAGGACTCTCTCAAACCGAGAAAAAGAATTTTGATAATAAAAATAAAAAAAAAATCCCCAACCGAAAATCCAACGTCTCACAAGAATATTATTTATCGAAGGGAAAAGAAGCATTTTTTTCACTAAAGATATTATTTTTTATTGTTGCTCATTTTTAATATTACTATTATTATTATTATTATTATTATTATTATTATTAATATTTTCACTTCATCTTCTCAAAAAAAAAATTCTTAATATTACTATTTTGTAATATTATTTATTATATTCAATTACGGGCTTAATAAATAAATATTATTACTATATTCTTAATTTATTTTTTATATTATTTACAGCTTTTAATATTATTATCATCATCACTTTTGCAAATATTATTCATTATTGTAAAACACTATTATTGTTATTATTATTATTATTATTATTATTATTATTTTCAATTTTTTTAGTTGTTATATGATTTTTTATTTCTTAAATTATTTATTATTTATAATAATATTTTATTTTCAACTTTTATTATTACTATCATTTTAATAATTTTATCATTATTTCAAATAATTCATTATGCAAAAATGTATATTTTCGTATATTTGTTAAATAAAACAAAGTAATTATATATTTTTACCTAAGAATAATAATTAATAAAAATATTGAAAAATTGCTAGTAATGATAACGAACTCTAATAACAATGTTTTTTATTTATATTTTTATTTTAAAAAAGACGATTTTAGTAAATAATAATATAACAATAGTGCAACAATTAAAAATAATAATATTAACAAAAAAACAGTAATAAATGAATAAATTATTAATATTTTTATTATTATTATTATTATTATTATTATTACGTTTGTATCCAAATAAATGAATAAATATAAAAAATATAATTAGACAATGAAAATTTCAAAAAATGATAATTTTTTTTTTTTGCACAATAAAGACAGAAATAGACTTTAATGTTGATAATAAAATAGAATTTATGGTTTAAGATACAAATAATAATTTTTTCGAACAAAGCAAAATGTACTAATTTTTCTTTTTTGGTCTAAAACTTTTTTTCGGAAAAATTTTTTTATTCTCAAAAAAAAAGAGAAAAAATAATTGAAAAATTTTCCATAGAAAGAAAAATAATTTTTTTAAACTTTAAATTTTTTTTTTAAAATTAAAAAAAGTTCCAAAAAACTTTTTTAATTAAATATGAAACAATGCAGAAATATTTTCTAAAGTAGGGTATAATAATATATTTTCACTACATCACACACGAAGTAGAATTTTGTAATTTTTTCTAAGCCCGTTTATCTTCTATATATAAATACACTGAGTAAAAAATTTATTTGATTCAAATAAGCAAATTAGTTTTCTATTATCAAATAAATATTTACTTCAAGTAAATAATTTCTATTTTCAATCAATTATGATGGTATTTGCTTTAAAAATACTGAAATATATTATTGGTACACATTGACTGGATTTAAATAAAAATTATTCGATTCAAGTAAGTATTTAATAAACTGAAATAAAGTTTATTTGATTCAGGAAAATATTTAATTGACTTAAATAAACTTTATTTGATTCAGGTAAATATTTGTATTTGACTTCAATAAACTTTATTTGATTCAGGCAAATATTTATTTGACTTCAATGAACTTTATTTGATTCAAGTATACGGAGTGAAAATATATATATTAAATTTTGTAAAAGTATTTTACAACTTGGGAAAAAAGTGCAACAAATCGAAATTTTCACATAAAAAATAATAAACAGTGAAAGAAATAATATGAAATTTAAAAAAAGTTATGTTAAAATATAACTAAAATTCTTTAATTTGATATAATTGTACTAAATTCCACTTAAGTTTTTTTCTAAAGTTTAATATTTTTTATATCAAAATTTTGCATTTTTTCCCCAAAAATTGTGAAAATCTTTTACAAAATTAAACATAATTTTCTCTCCGTGTAAATATTTATTTTACTTAAATAAACTTTTTTGATTCAGACAAATATTTAAGTGACTTAAATAAACTTTATTTGATTCAGGCAAATATTTAAATGACTTAAATAAACTTTATTTGATTCAGGTAAGAATTTATTTAACTTAAATAAACTTTATTTGATTCAAGTAAATATTTATTTGTCTTAAATAAACTTTATTTGATTCAGGTAAATCTTTATTTGACTTAAATAAACTTTATTTGACTTAAATAAACTTTATTTGATTCAGGTAAATATTTATTTGACTTAAATAAACTTTATTTGATTCAGGCAAATATTTATTTGACTTAAATAAACTTTATTTGATTCAGGTAAATCTTTATTTAACTTAAATAAACTTTATTTGATTTAAATAAACTTTATTTGACTTAAATAAACTTTAATTGATTTATATAAACTTTATTTGACTTAAATAAACTTTATTTGATTCAGGCAAAAATTTATTTGCTTGAAAAATACTGAAATATTATTGGTTCACATTGACTGGATTTAAACAAAAATTATTCGATTTAAGTAAATCTTTATTTGACTTAAATAAACTTTATTTGATTCAGATAAATATTTATTTTACTTAAACTTTATTTGATTCAAGTAATTCTTTATTTGGACCAAGTAAATATTAATTTGAATAAAATAAATTTTTTTCCAAGTGTAATTAAATACTAAATAATTCAAAAATTCAAAATTCAAAAAATTAAATATTTGAATTTAAATTCTCCGAAAAGCATAAGTTTAATAAGAGAATAAATGTTTCCCCCAATTTGCTTACCTTAATTTTGAACGATAAGAATGAAGAAGAAGAAGAAGCAGAAATTGATGAGTTTGATGAGTTTTGATGATTTTGATGATAATGATGATAAAGTTGATGACGAATGTTGCGTTGATGATGAGAATATGAGGATACGTTTATAGAGAATATTCTCTCAACTCTCAAGTGAGAGAGATGAGTGTGATGCTGTGGCAAAGACCAAAGGCAAAATCCAAAGGCCTCTCTTTGCAGTTTGAAATAAACGACGTTTTCTTTCTACAACACACTGCAGTGTGTATATTGCTCTTCTCTCGTTCTTGAATCTTTTGCAGGGAGGCTGCTGTTGCTGCTGCTGCTCCTGCTTGCCTCAGTGCTTAAAGGCGGGGGTTTATTCTCTCTCGTTCGATGTGTGTAGAGGTAACACTGATCAAGTTCACTAAGACTTTAACCACCTTCGACCCAACTGTTGAACCCTGGAACTGGTTCCTCCACTTTGCCTTCTTCTTGTTGTTGCTCTTCTTCTCCTTTTTATTTCATCTTCTGCTTCCTCCTCCTCTTTCCTCCCTCTATACGTTTATATTTTGCCTTCTTTTTAATCCTCCACTCCTCTTTCTTTTTCCCGTGTATTTATCTCTTCTTTTTCTTCTCTTTCTTCTTTCTCTTACTTCTGCCTCTTTTTTTCACCTTCTCATAAAACCTAAATTTATATTTCATTCAACTTGTTAAAAAAAAATTATGCTAATCCTTTAATAATGTGTTGACCCCTCGTTTTTTGACCGGAGGGTAAATTTGAGAAGGGGGGGGGGCAAATTTCCAAGATAAACACTCAATAATGAATTATGTTCGAAGAAGAAAAAATACAAGAATTAAAAATTCGTTACTTTGAATTTTTTTCTTTCGAATTTATTATCGCTAATTTTAGTTTTTATTTCCTTTTTTGTTTTCTATTTTATTTATTTATTTATTTTTGCTATGAAGCAAAAAAATTAAATTTTTTCATAACAATAAAATAAAGCATTATTTTATATTATAAGAATATTGGATTGTAGGTCAAAAGTTCCAAATACGAATTTCAATTATTCGTAAATTCTTCAATCAAATATTATATTAGAAAATAAAAACTTCAAATAATATATAAAAAAAATTCAATTAAACTTTTTCAAAAAAATTCATTTGAAAATTCAATTATTTCTAAAAATTCACGCTATATTGCTTTTAATATTCAATTGTTATCTAAAATTTTAACTGAAATTTACTTTTAAATCAATTTTTATTAGAAAATTCTACTGAAATTCAATTATTTAAATACAAAAATAAATAATTTGTTGAATAATTAAATGTTTCTTAAAATTCAATTCTCATAAAGAATTTTATCAACAAATTTTTAAATAATTCAATTCTTTCGACGAATTTTAATAAAATTTTTAAGAATAATTACATTTTTCGAGGAATTCGATTAGAATTGTATATTAAAAAATAATTTAAATTCTGCGATGAGTTTCATTATTTTTTGTGAAAATAATTGAATCTTTGTAAAAATTTTATTATTTATGAAAGTAATTGAATTATTGCGAAGAAATTTATGAAAATTACGGATATTACGAACTTGAAGCAAAACGGATCTTTTAAAAAAAACAAAATTAACGAAATAGATTTAAATTTATTTATTGAGTTTGAAAAAAATTAGCAACAAAAATAAAAAAAATTATATTCATTAAATTAATTAAAATAAAACGAAAAATAAAATATATTAAATAAAGATAATAAACTAAAAAAAATGCCTAAAATTTGATTTTATCTACAAAAATGCCATCTAACGGTGACCTTGACGTTCACAGGTGAAGAGTTGCATCTCCATATTGAAACTCAATATGTTCGTCAATATTTGTAATTCTATAAATATTTATAATCAAAATTTATAAAGTTTGACAATTAATAAAAAATAGATCTCAATTTTCAATTTACTTTCCTTTTCGGATACTTTTATCGTCTCCAATTTATTTTTGAATCTTAGAATTAATTTCTTCACTTTAAAATTGATATTTAAAATCTCAATTTCAAAAATAAAATAAGTGTCTTCTCTAACGAAATAAGTGTAGTAAATTATTTATAAAAAATAGTAGTTAAATAGTTGTATGACATAAAAAAACGTGTCAAAAAGTATCAAATAATCGCAAAGAGTTCAAGGCCAGAAAATATACTGAAGTTTGTTAATTAAAATTGCAATTTAATTCACAAAATAAACCCGAAATTTATTAATCAAAATTATAATAAATATTGACAAAATAAATTTTAAAAAATAACAAAATAAATGTATTTTAATTAGAATTATAAATAAAAGTAACGAATAATGAACTTTTAATAATTTAACTTGAAACAAAAATTAACAAAACGAGCAAAATCCACTAACAAGTTGATTGATTTTGACTCATATAACTTTTCTTGTTGTCATTCCATGAATTGAAATATTAAATCATTTAAAAACTAATTTAAGTGAAAAATTTAATTATTTAAAAATCAACATTTAATAAAAAGTTCACTTATTTAGAAATTCAGAAAAAATCAACTATACTGTCAAAAATTAAAAATAAATTTATACTTAAAATACTACTAAAGAATGTGAAAATTAATTATTATAGAAAATAATTAATTTGAAAATTAAAAATAAAGTAAAAAAAAATTTATTTGAAAATTAAAAATAAAATAATAATTAATTTAAAAATTAAAAAAAAAGTAAAAAAAATAATTATAAACAATTGATAGAAGCATAAATTCTTTTGTCAATCGATATTAAAAAACTATTTAAAAATTAAAATGATAAAAGAAAAAAATGTTAATAAAATAACTTTTAATATATAAAAAAATTTTCCAACAACGAATAGATAACAAAAAGCCATTTATTTCTATTTTTCTAATCAATATCTTCAAATAATAATACTTTACATGAAGATAGATAAATTCTAATCATAAATTATTATACATTAAAAGATATAATTGTTACACCACTTTTACGTAAATTTAATGCAATTAAACAAAATGTTTCCCTTTCACTGGAGAGTTTTTAAATTGCAAACGGTGAAATGATTGAAGAAAAAACTTGTCTTTAACATACGCGCGTGTCTATATGCGGGAATGCCTTTGATATTAAATATAAACATGTATATATAATATATTGTTTAGCATATAATACAAAGTGAAAATAAATAAGCAAGAAAGAAATTTTAACTATCAATAATAAAAACCAAAATTATAATAATAAAAACAATGAAAACAATAATTTAAAAAAAATTATTAATAACAATAGTAATACCAACAATAATAAAAACCAAAATTATAATAATAACAATAATAATAATAATAATAATAATAATAACAATAATAATAATAATAATAATAATAATAATAATAACAATAATAAAAACAATAAATAAAAAATATAAATAAAGTATTAACAATTATTTGTAAGAATAGTAACAACAATTTTAATTTAAACAATTTTTTAAATAATATATATATATATATATATATACACTTGTATGTGTGTGTTTATATATAGATATACCTGACTCATTGTGAATTCCTGAAATGTGTCATAATTGCCAAACGTGTTGTGCACCTTGATTTTAGCGTTGAACCCCTTTGACACCACTTTAATAAACCGAAAATTATAAAACCGGTTCGATTTGTCGCGATTTTCATTTCTTCCTTCGTCGTATGTGTCCACTGGAAAACTAGTTGCAAATGAAGATCTCGAGCTTCGACTCGAATGTCTTACGATACTATAATGTCCAAGTGGGAGTAATTCATTTTATGTACATTCTTTTCTATTTTTTTCTTTTTATGCATTTTAGATAAATTTAATTTAAAAAAATAATTATTATACCTTATAAAATAATAATAATAATACCAATACTAATATAATAATAATATAATAGAAATAATACTTATAATAATATAATAATAACACTAATTGTTGTTATTATAATTATTATTATTATTATTATTATTAATAAATTACATAAATGTCCCGTATACTGGTTAAATAAAAAATAAATAAAAATAAAATAGTAATTATTACATTGTAATAATATTATTATTAATTTTACCATTATTTTTGTTAATTTTCTAAAATTGTTTTTTCTAAAACCTAAAGCTAATATTTTTATCTTTAATTTTTTATTGTTATTATCAATTAAAAAAATCACTCTTTCTATTATTTTCAAATATACTAAAAAAGAAGTGCAATTTTTATTTTCATTTAAGAAAGAAGTAAATTTTTAAAAAAGAAAAGCAAATAAAAAATGTATGGCAAATAGCCATGAAAATAAACAGTGATAGAAAGTAACTAAAAGAAGAGAGAACTATCTATCGATGTCCGAGTTGAGAAACACTGCTCGCGTAAAGGGGGGGGGAGCGCCACAACCAATCACAACTCATCATCCCCACTTCTCGTCTATTGTCCAAGCAGTGTTCTCAACCCAAGCGCCGTAGAACGATACTCAAAAATATTTCTAATTGAATTATTTTACTTTACTAGTAATTGTAACGATAATTATTAATTATAATAATATAATTATATAGTATAATTATTTATTAAATTTAAAAAAATTTTTAATTAATTTAAAAAATGTTTAATTTAATTTTTAAGTTATTGTACAAAATTATAATATAATTATTTTTATTACTTGTTATAAAATTAAAAGTTAATGACAATTAACAACAATCAAAATAATATAATAAAATTATGATAACATTATAAAAAAAATTTTTTTTTCATTAAAACAATAAATTATATTTTTTCCCTCCTTTTGCTGCGAATTTTCTAAGAGACTCATAATTTTTGTTATTATAAAAATAGCAAATATGATGACGATGATGTTGATAATGATTAATTGAATTATATGTTTTGTTGCAAATTAAAAAGAAATGCAAAAAAATAATTGCATTTTTTTTTAATCAAGGAAAACGGAAGTCTCTTGGTAACGATGTGTATAGAGGGGAAAAAACCGGTTTTTCGGGGTCTCACGCGCCTTTTAAATAAGACATTTTGTATTAATAAAGTGATGAACATTATATTTTTACGGTATTTATTCTTCACGATGACACGTGTACGTAGAAAATGATGCCGTTAACCTTTATCGACGATTATGCTTTAGAAAAAAAAAATTTGAAAAAAAACCCACACGATTTTCTAATATTGTCATAAAATTTACTAAAATGTTGAGTAAAATGATGCGATTAATGTCGTGTTTATTTCTGTTTTATATGTCTGATAGAAAATTTTATTTCTAAACACTGCGCACACAACATTGTTAATAACTATACAGTACTTAAAATTTTTCAACTTAAAGAATAGGAATTTGAAAAACAAATTCTAATTTTTATATTTAAACAATTTAAAAAAAAAATGTAGATAAAATTTTATTTTTCCAAATTCATTTTAATTCGACTAAAAAAAAAAGATTCTCCAACAAGATTTTGCAAGTTTTTTAAATTTCCTAAAAAAAAATGTGACTAATTTCAGTGCAAATTTGAGGTTCGATTTAAAGAAATTTAAAACGATTTTGAATTTTTTTTGCCGATTTTTTCAACATTAATTTTTTAATTTAAAAAATTTTTAATGCTGATTTTAATATTGGGGCATTATTTTTAAATTGCGAAATTATTATAACAAAAAGAATGGGCCATTTGAATATTT